CATTGCTAAAACATATGCTGGAGGCACAGGTTTCAGAAATCGTTATATTTCATATCTTTATTAATTGGCTTGTACATGACTAAAACAATATATTAATGACATTCATGAGTTTTGTTCCACTGGGAGACGAAGGTGCTAATGAATACTAAAATTACCCAGGAGAAGCCATAAATACAGCTCTAAATATGTTAACTCATATGCTGTTTTCTAAATGCCAGTTATCTTGAGCCACTACCTCGTGTCTCTTTTACTTGAAAATGCTTTGAAATACAGCATTTCAGAAAGTAACTTGATCAAATCAACACACCTTTAGATTACCTGTGTATATTAAGTCCAAATCACAAGAATAAAGGCTGGGTTTGTGCTCCAGTTTTGCCCAGGAAATTGCTTGAGTTGTAAAATTTATTTGAACTGTGAAGAGGAAAGTGGATGTGTGTTTTCAGCAGTAGCCATCTAGACTTCTCCAGGCATCTCTGGGTCATTGCTCTGAGCCCCCATCTCCATTCCCTGCCTTGTTTTTTTCCCAGATACATCTGTGTATGTACTCTACAAGAACATGGCTTGCTCCGGTTTCTGAATGAATCATTATCAGAGTGGCAGAAAGAACATCAATAACCTCAGTCCCAATATCCAGAGAGGCCCAGAATTAGGTCTTTTGAAAGATGCAGGATCCTGTACCAGTTGGCTGAATTTTTAGCTTCCACATTACCACATTGCTATTCCACTCACACTGTGTAAAGCCATTTCATAAGATGGGATTTTCGCCTCTGCTTTCCAGACATTCCTACTCACCACTGAAGCTGCCCTGTATGTAGACCTTTTTTGATTAGGTTCTTTACAGATGTCTGGCTCTGGTCTATTTCCCTCCTTGGAGGTTTGGGGGCTGAGAAAATGTGTATCCACTCTCTTATTAGTAGCCCTAATACAGTATCATTCCCTGGGAAATTCAGGGCTGACCCATATTTAACACAACCCTTAGATTGTCTCTCCATGATCAGGCATCTCAAGCAAGTTGTGAATGTGGTTGAGTCCTGTTAACTTGGAGTTGAAATTTTGGAAAAATACCTGAAGAGGTCATATTTTGTGTCACTCCCTAAAAGAGATGTCCTTGCACTTTAGATATCTTTATAGGCACTAAAGCAGATACTTTGTTTTGAAATTGTCCCTGGCCTGTGTTCTTGTCCCATCCAAGGACCACTATACTTTCACCAAAAACATTCAGGAAAAGAAGCCGAGGGTCTGCCAGGAACATCATAGACAGCATCTCCAAAATATTCTGTGTTGAAATCTTGAGGTTCAGTGTGAAAAAAAAATGGCAGGAGGACATCTTTCTACGGTCAAATATGTTAAGAAAACTCATTATGTTCTATTATCCCCCTTGGAGTCTCTCAGTACATACTGGTATATTGAGGGTTCTGGGAAGTCTAGCGGTGAAAACAAAACCAGAAACTAAAACCTATTCGACTTTGTTTAAGCCAGCTTACTCTAAAATGATTTGACTTTTTTTTTTTAATAACACCTAATATTACCTCACAGGCCCTGTTTTTGGAAATGCTATTGTAAACGCCATTGCAGCACTGATTGATTGGGGAGGTATATTTGATTCCCTGTAAGAAGTCTTTGTAAGACCTGCAGGTGCAATGTGCTGTTCCACCCTTCATTGCTGTCACTCCCTCCCCAGGAGGGCCCTTGCAGGCCCTCACATTTGCTTTTCTCTGAGTGCAGTGGTTTTGCAGAGTACCTCCCATATGAACTGAGAATAATATAACTCCAGCAGAGAGGGACCTCAGAATCCCACCCCACCCCTGCTGTGACATTGGGGAGGTTCAGGCAGAATTTCAAACGGAGGCCCTCTACTTCCCCCTCAAGTAGGTTTGCCAAGCATCCTGTATTTAAAAGCAAACAAACAAAACAGGTTCTGAATTTCTTTGTCTTGTGTTATTTTCTCCTCAGGAGACTCAAGGAGGTGAGGTCCTTGGTCTGAAGGAGGTGATCCCACTTTGGCAGAGGGAGGAATTCCATACTCTGCTACGAGTCAAGGTAAGGAATCAGAATGACGGGTGAGGAAACCAGCCCAGGAGAGAGGGGTCCTGCTGTCAACTCTAGGAGGACCCACACAAGGATGGTCATATGAGATGTCCCCTGACTTGCTCATAAGGGTCTCGAAGAGGTGAAGGCCTTGATGTGAAGGGAGATGGCCTCAGGCAAGCAGAATGAGTGTGCAAGGAGCTACCAAGAGTCATGGTGAAGGCCCTGAGTGAGCCCTGGAATGGCAGACTGCCCTTAAAGTTACTTTGAGATGGGTGGGGAAACCAGAGAGAAATCACCCGGGGCAGAGATGGAACATGACCTGCATTCTTGTCCCCGTGCAGGTGACCGCAGTGTACAAATTAGATGTTTTAATCGCATTGTCTCCAGGGAGTTTCTGAGAAATAAAGGTGATTCTCCCTTGAGGTGAGATGTTAAGACACTAGGCACTCTTTGTACCTGGCTGGGGTGATCAGAGCCCACTCCATCGAAAGCGCATTCAGGTTAAGTTACCATGTATATTTTGGCAAATTCTAGGCAAATTCTCAGCTTTTTAGTGCAGGTTAAATTAATGAAAACAAGGATGGTTTGGATGGAAAGACCCCCTAGGAGGGCAGGAAGTTGTTGATCGTTGAAAGAAATTTTAGGAGTTTTGTGTTACATCTAACTGGGGAACTGTACCTTATACCCTATTGAATGATTTATCATGTAATAGGGAAATATTACTTAGTTTTCCTTGCTAATCAGCATTCTGGCCGATTGGATTTTCTTTGTTCTAGAATGCTACATGTTTGCTGACAGCTGCTGGATTAAAAAAAAAAAAAGTCCTGGCCGGGTGGGTGATACAATCGTGGTTCAAATTAATCATACCAATAAATGCCATGTTGAATTGTCAGTAGGCCAGCTTTGTGCCAGGCGCTTAACACATATTAACTACAGTCCACCATCCTATAAGACAGAGCTTATCAAACCCACTTCACAGATGCAGAGCCTGATGCTCACAAAGTTTAGGAATGTGTCTGAATTCGCACAGCTGTTAAGGGACAGGGTTGAAACTAGACCCCTAGTCTGGACTAGTCTAGAGCGCACAACTGTCACAGTTCTAGCCTTAGGCCCACCTTATGTCTCTTATTCAATTTCCCCCTTTCTTCTTAAAAATGTATCTCAGGCAATCAAAATAAGGACTCTATGCTCATACTACTGGGTTGGAATACATTCCTAGAGCAGTATGAATACCAAAATAAATGAGAGGCATGAGAAAAGAATACATGGTGATAATATGATCATCTATACATGAAACATCAGATAACCTTGAAAGATGAGGAGCTCACAAAGTCCTCCTGGACAGCCCTTCCCCATACAGTATAAATCTATCAGAGGAGAATTTACATGAGACTAAGTCTGGCTGATGAACAGAAGGAAAATAGCAGCACATTTTCCCCCTAACAGCCCCTCACCTTCCTGGGATTCCTGCCTTGTACTTTACCTTCCCCATCTCACATCACTCCAAGGACAGGGACTGAGGTTTGCAGAGGGGAAACTGCTCAGGTCTTGGCAAGCAAGTGGCATTTCCCAGAAAGCCTTTAATCCAAGAGACAGGAGCCAAGATGAAAAGCCCAATATTAGAGGCCTTGGGTGACCAATATCCCAGAATATAGGGGATCACACATAGGCTTCTACCTGCTTTTATACTTAGAGACAGAGCTCAGACTGACCTCAGACAGAGCTCTCAGGCTGAGCATGCCCTCACTTATTCTTCAGGCCTCTCGAGGACTTAAGAGCTTCGGCCAAACAAGGACAATCTTAGGTCAGTAGAAGAAGGCGTCCCAGCCTCTGATAGATATGAAGGACCCCAAATGAGGAATGATGGAAGGACCCTGCCAGAACAACGGGGTTCCACAGAGTCCGGCTTGTGTCCTCTACTGTAGGAGAACAGACACACTATCCTGGATGTGGCTCATTCTGAGTTCTAGTTCGGTCCCCAGAAGGTGTGTACTTTGATTTGATGGGGGCAGCCTCAGTCAGCAGACACTGGAGTCCCAAGACTGGTCAGATGTCAGGGTGAGAACTCTGAAAAAGAATAAGGGAATCACTCACCCCAGAACAGAGGATCCACACAACAACCCCCCCCCCAATGCTTTTGGCCCTGGGATGCCCAGGACAGAGTTGTGAAGTGGAAGAACCCCCTCAGTCTCCCAGTAGTGTCTCACATAGGTGGGGTCAGCCCTAGATGTGCAAAGAGAGAAAACCCAGGCCTTAGCAAGAATCATAATAAGAACCCTGACAATTCAATAGGGATCATCCTACCAGCACAGGGAGTCAAACAGAGCCCCATCCTATTCTGAGCCCTGGAGGCCCCAGAAGAGTTATAACTGATTCCACCGGTGCAATCTCAGGGAGGAAAAGCCCTTGGTCCGAAGGGGGCAGCCCCAGTTCTGCCAAGGGTGGAGTCTCGGCCTTAATGGAAGATGAGGACTCTGAGTGCTGATGACGGGACAACTCCCTTAAAAAAAAAAAAAAAAAAAACATTTTCCAGGGGGCACCTGGGTGGCTCAGTCTGTTAAGCCTAGGACTCTTGATTTCAGCTCCGGTCATGATCTCAGGGGGCTGTGCCCTGGGAACAGAGCCTGCTTAAGATGCTCCCTCTCCCTCCCCCCCTTCCTACCCCCCTCTCTCTTTCAAAAGAAAAAACAAAACAAAACGCCTCCCCGAGCCCTGTTGCTGCTTTCAGGCTTGTGCGGCTCAGGAAGGAGTACCCCCGAGCGGCAGGACCAGAGATTCCCCTCTAGGGACTCAGGAGGGTGGGGGCCCTGGGGGCGGCAGGCCTGGGCCGGCAGAGGGAGGAGCCACAAGCGCTGGCGTCCCTCAGAGCCCCGCCCACCCCTGCTTTCAGCCCCCGGAGACCCCGGTGCCGCCGCCCCCGGATGCGGATCTCCTGACTTCCGTTCTGGGCGGGACCTCGACCACTGGGCGCGGCGGTTCGTTGGGCGGCGGACGGTTTCCTGGGACCGGTCTAAAGTCAAGGTGAGGACCCTGGGGGGGACTGAAGAGACTGTTCCCCGCCCCCATAACGAAGTTGGCCCCCCGAACCTGCCCCTTGGGTCGGGCTTTGGGAGGTCCCAGCGGACTGGCTGGCCGAATTTGGCCTAGAAAGTCTCGCAGAGGAGGCCTTGGTCTATGGGAGTAGTCCCGATTGTACACGTGGAAGAGAGCTACGTCCTAAAAGGATTCACAGTGAGGGCCCCGAGGGCTGTGAGCAGACCTTTACCCGACAGATCGGGCCACACTGGCAAGCCCCCCTGTACTCTGCTCTCGGAGGCTCCAGGAAGGGTAGACACACGTTGAGAGAGCTGCTTTTCCCTCTAGCAACTAAGGGAATTGAGGGCTCTACCTCTCAACTCCCAAACTCAGCAAGGGAGGCTCTGGGCAGAGCTGGCAGGCTGAGGTGCCCCCTCATTTTCTCTGAAGGTGGTCTCAGGAAGTGGGGGAGGGCCTTGGTCTAATGGAGCAAGCTCCTTTCAGCAAAATGGACCCAGTTCCTAACAGGAGTTGAGGCTGTGATACCCAGTGAAAATGGAGGACCCCTCCCAGAAAGGGGCCACATAAAGCCCTATCTCTGTTTTCACGCCTGGAAAACATGGGCATGGTGACATGATGCCTTATACTCACTTCTTCCTAGGGCGGTGAGGGACCAGGTCAAAGTGGGCAGCCTCAAGCCAGCAGAGGGAGGATTTGAGATTATGCCAGGTGTCAGAGTGAAAATCTTGAGAACTGTTCACATGTCCCATGCCATATCAGTGGGGCCCCAAAGAATCCTGCCTATTATCAGCTCTGGGAGACCCCAAGGATAGGTGTCAGACAGAAGTGTTCATCAGTCGCCACTCCACGGTAGCAGGCCAGTGAGGGTCTTGGTGTGAGGGGAGCGGTTCTAGGTCAGCAGAGGAAGAAATCTTAGACCCTGTCGTGAGTGAGATTTAGACCTTGAGTTGGGATCCTGTGGGGGACCACCTACCTTAGGACATCAACCTGCCTGCAATAGCTTTTACCATGTTTGGTCAGATAAGGTTGTCTTCACTACTTCCTCTTGGGACTCAGGGAGGTTTGCTCTTACTATGAGGATGTAGGCATCAGTTCAAGAAAAAGTGGAGCTTCTCTACCAGGAGCAAATTTGAGGAACCTGAGTAAGGAATCAAGGGGTCATCCAATCCTGAATAGAGGAGACATCAAAACATCCATCTTAACCCTTTGATTTCAGCCCTTGAAATCACAGGGAAGGGCTGTCAGGTTGAGCATCCCCCTCAATTCTTTATATTAGGTCTAAAGGCAGTGATATTCTTAGTCTGAAGGCACAGCCACCAGTCAACAAAGGGGAGTGGTACCGAGCCTTTCAAGGAGCCAAGATGAGGACCTTAAAGGAAGGCTGAGGATCCCAGTGAATTCAGGACATACAGGACCTTACTGAGCTCTCAGCACTGGGTATTCCCTAGCAGGGAGGTAGGCTGAGGCATCCCTTCAGTTCCTTCTCCTGGGTCCCAGGGAGCTTTGAGGCATCACCTTCAAAGCAGCAGAGGGGAGGGTACCCCAGCTTTGCCAAGAATTGACATGATTATACTAAAGATAAACTGAGAGGACCCAACATGCCTCACTGCGGACACCTGCTCTCACCTGAGTAAACCCAAGGCAGGGCTAGCAGGATGCAAATAAGACACACTTTAAGGGTTCCATGGTTCCTCTCTGGGCTTCTTAGGGAATAGGCTGACCAGGAGCACAGGATCCTGTAGGGTCCTAGAACAGTACCCTCAAGGACCCTGCAGAGGTGGCCTTTGATAAAACCAAGGTGGAATCTACCTGTTGAAGGTGATAAAACCATCTTGCTCTCCCTCCTTCAGGGGCCCAAATCACCTGTCCACTGGCTCACACCCTTACCTGCCATCCCTGATCACAGCCATTATGCCTCGTGGTCAGAAGAGTAAGCTCCGTGCTCGTGAGAAACGCCGCCGTAACAGAGATGAGGCCCGAGGTCTTATGAGTGCTCAGGCCACCACAGCAGAGGAGGAAGAGACCACTCCTTCCTCCTCTCCTGTTTTTGGGGATGCTCCCTCAGGCTCCCCTGTTCCTGGCACTTCCCAGGAGCCCCAGGAAGGTGTGGCCACCACCAGTGCTGCTGCAGGTGTTTCACGCCCGAGATCTAATGTAGGTGCCAAAAGCCAGGTTGAGGAAAATAAAAATTCCTCTCAGGCCTCAACTTCTACTGAGAGTGCTAGCAAAGATCCTCTAACCAGGAGGGTGGGGATGTTGATGCAGTTCCTGCTGTATAAGTATAAATTGAAGGAGCCCATTAAAAAGGCAGACATGCTGAAGATCATCAACAAAAGGTACAGGGAGCACTTCCCCGAGATCCTCCGGAAAGCCTCCGAGCGCATGGAGCTGGTCTTTGGCCTACAATTGAAGGAAGTCAAGCCAGGCGGTCACTCCTATACCCTCGTCAGCAGCCTAGACCTCACCAGTGATGGCAATGTGAGCAGCGCCTGGGGCTTTCCTAAGAATGGGCTTCTCATGCCTCTCCTCGGTGTGATCTTCTTGAGTGGCAACCGCGCCTCTGAGGAAGATATCTGGGAATTCCTGAATATTTTGGGTATCTATGATGGAAGGAGGCACTTCATCTTTGGGGAGCCCAGGAAGCTCATCACCCAAGATTTGGTGCAGGAAAAGTACCTGGAATACCGCCAGGTGGCCAACAGTGATCCTCCACGCTACGAGTTCCTGTGGGGCCCCAGGGCCCACGCTGAGACCAGCAAGATGAAAGTCCTAGAGTTTCTGGCCAAGATCCATGATACCGTCCCCAGTGCCTTCCCGCCGCATTATGAAGAGGCTCTGCGAGATGAGGAAGAGCGAGCCCGAGCCGCAGCTGGGGCTGCCTCTACTACCAAGGCCGGTGCACGTTCCCGGGCCAAGTCCAGCCGCTCCTCTCGTCCCTAGACAGGGCTGAGGCAGATTCTTTGCTTTGTTGTTGGAAAGGCCTGTTAACTAGTGTTCCTGATAAGCACAAATAACTTGCTATCTTTTTGTTTGTTTATTTACATGTTTCAAGCAGTGTTCCTTTCAACAGAAAGTTTATTTAGATTCAGAATATAAGTTTATGAGTGACATGGATCACACATTTATTGCTGTTTATCAGGTTTAGGAGTAAGAGTTTGTTTTTGTTTTTGTTTTTTTGAAATACAAATTAGAAATCCTTAAGTCACTTTTGTGATCCGGAGCAAGCTAACATGGCTTTAGGATAGGAATATCCTTGGAAAAGTGAGAGTTCCACACTAAAATAGTTGGGATCAGAAGGTAGATAGATGGATGGATTAATGGATGGATGGATGGATAGATAGATCGAGTAAAAATTGGTTAATTCTTGGTTTGTCTTACTTTTTGTAAATTTAAAAGACATACCTCAATTTGTTTATATTTGTCAAGAATGTTTAAGAATATAAATCATAGTGAATCAGACCTCTTTATTCGTGTCTCTTATTTTACACAGACATTGAGCATCTGTTCTTGGGAAGTCTTCATGCTTGTACTGGGGATGTTTAGTCAAAGAAGACCCAGCCACTGCCCATACAATTATAGATTCTAGGAGCAGCTGTCCTTAGGGAAGAGGGTGAGATAGTACTTCATAAAGAACAAGTGAAGAGCATGGTAAAGAGGGGGCTAAGAGAACATATTACTGAGTTTTCATTCCTAAGCAGAATTTTGGCTGATTGGGAGGTTTTTCTTGGCCAGAGCACTGCATATTCTCTGACATGTCTTAGTTGTAAAAAAACAAAACAAAACTCAGCCGCATAGATGGTAATGTCTGAGGTCAAGATAATCATAGTAATAACTGCCATTCCCTAATGTCTCAGTACAAGACAGGCCCAGCAACAGATGCTTTCTGTACATTACACATACTCCACCAGTCCTACAAGATAGGGCTCATCAAACTTACTTCATAGAGAAGAGCTTGCGGCTCATAGAGTTTGGCAGTGTGCCAAAATTCACAGGGCTAGCAAATGACGAGGCTGGGACTCGACTCCTGGTCTCAATTATTATAGAGCCCACAACTATTTTACTCCTCCAACCCTGAGCCACACCCTGTATTTCTTATTTCAGTTTTCTTCTCAATACTTCAAAATTTGTCTTAGGTGATAAAAAGAATGGCTTTGTGTCCAAACTGCTGGATTGGAATATATAGTCAGAGCAAAAAGAATACCAAAATAATTAAGAGGTATAATTAAATAAATGACAGGATTAGGTGACAGTATGACCATCTACATTTGCAATGTTAAAACACCTCAGAAGATCAGGGGCTCTCAGAATCAGCCTGGACAATCTGTTACCTGTAGAGAGATCTCCCAGAACAGAAGCTACATGAGAATCCTCACCTGGCTGACAAACGGAAGGAATAGCTTAAGTGTATTTTTTTCCCATGATGGCCCACCACCTGGCCTGGAATTCCTGCCTTGTGCTACAGCTTCCCCATTTCACATCACTCCCAGGATGGAGGCGCATCCTCTGCAAAGTTTGCAAAGCAGAAACTGCTCCAGAGGTACAGAGCTATGGAATTTCCCGGGAAGCCTTAAGTCCTAGAGACAGAAACCAAGGTGAGGACCCTTGTAGAAGGATTGGGGAGACCCACACTGCAGAATATAGGGGATGCCAGGGACTTCAGTCCCCTCTGTTCTTAAGCACAGATGGTCTCAGACAGTTGTCAGGCTGAGCATACCATCACTAAGAGTTAAGGCTTCTCACTGGCGTAAGAGCCTTCATCTAAGGGCAGAGTCCTCAGGTCATTAGAGAAAGGAGGGTCAGTCTCTCAGAAATCATGGAGATAGACCTGAAGGAGGACAATGAAAGGACCCAGCCGGAACAGTAGGATCCCATAAAAATCCTGTCCCAATTGTCAGCTCTGTGAGTTCCGAAGTGTTGCCTGTGGTGAACACTGACTTTTGCCTCAGGTCCTGGGAAGGTGTGGCCTTTGTCCGAAGGCTGTATCTTCAGAACAGCAGAGAGGGTGGAGTCCCGGGAAGGGTGAAGACACTGTGTGTGGACATGGGGATCACCCAACCCACAACTGACAGTACTACACCAAACACCTTCTTTACTGTTCGCCTGGGAGGCGCAGGCAAGACCTGGCAGGCTCAAGTGCCCCCCCCCACACGTCTGCCTGGAGGGTCGCATGGGAATGAAGGCCTTGGTTTACCTGCTGGCCGTTGGGAAGTGGAATCCCAACCATGACAATATCACCATAAGAGTCCTGTATGAGGGGGCGCCTGGGGGGCTCAGTCAGTTAAGCATCCGACTCTCGGTTTTGCCTCAGATCCTGAGCTCCTGGGTGGTGGGATTGAGCCCCATATGAGCTCCAACGCTCAGCAGGGAGTGGGCTTGAAGAGTCTCTCCCTCTGCCCCTCCCACTGCTCACACACGTGCGCTCACTCGCTCTCTTTCTCTCTAAAGTAAATAAATATTTAAAAAAAAATCCTGCGTGAGGAATGAGGCAACCAACTACTCTATACCGGGTATATTATGATATGCCAGAGCAATAATAGTACTAAAATAAATGTGAGGTGTGAATAAAGGGGAAAAAAGATAATATTTGCAGGCTATAGGATCATCTGCATATGTGATTTCAGATAACCTTAAAAGATCAGGGACTCAAAAAAACTATCTGACTCAGCCACTTCCTTATAAAAAGTAAATGTATTAGAACAGAGGTTACATGAGACCTTAAGCCTGGCCAGGAAAAAGGATAGACCAACATAGTTTATTTCTCTTACAGCCCACTTACCTGGGCCCCCTGATATGTGCAGTTGTGGATTTCCCATCTCCTATCACTCTTAGGACAAGGACCCATTCTCTTCAAGGTTCAGAGTAGGGAAATGGCTCAGGAATTTTCAGGGATGTGACATAGCCCAAAAAGCCCGTAATGGAAGTGACAAGAGCCTTTAGGAGGATACCCATGAACCAGAACTGGGGAAAGGAGGAAGCAACATCCCAGAATATTGGGTGTTACAGAGACAGCAGCCCCTGCCTTCTCTCAAAGCCAGAAGGCTCCAGGCAGAGCTGTCAGCCTGGGAATCTCCTCACTGTTTCAACACAGTTGTCAGGGTCTTGAGAGCTTTGGTCTGAGGAAGACAATCTCAGGTCAGAAGAGGGAGTTATCAGATATAAATGTGAGTTCCCTTTAAAAGAACGAAGGAAGCACCTACCCAGAACCCTGGTGGCCCATAGAGTCGAGTTCCTGCTGTCAGCCCTTGGGGGTCCTGAATTCATCACATGATGAAGTGTAAAGAGGCTTTGAGACATGAGCGAGAACGTGAGCCAGAGTGGCTGTCAGGCCTGGCACTGCTGCCAGGACCAGGGAATGTGCCAGGGCCGAGACCAGTAGCAACTCCCACATCTAGTGAAGTCGGGGTAGGGTGGGGGGATTTTTCATCTTGTGGTAAAAAGAGAGGTCAGCATTCTAAGTAGTGAAGCACCTAGGTGGAGCTGAAAGGAACACATTGTATATGTCTTCTTTTTGTTCTTGCTTTACTTGAGTAAGTGGGAGATTTATCTGTTTTTATTTTGGGGTTTCTTTTTGGTACTCTTAAAATACTGTTCCTTGAAATAGAAGGTTTATTTGACTTAAGTATCTGTGTTTATGAATAATGTGTATCACACATGTATTGCTATTACGTATAAACGTTCTGGTATTTTGTGCAACAAATTAAAAATCCTTGCATATCTCTCTCTCTCTCTCTCTCTCTCTCTCTCTCTCTCTGTTTTTAGAGAGAGAGGGAGAGTGCACATGACCGGGGTTGAGGGGTACGGGGAGAGGGAGAGAGAATCTTTAAGCAGGCTCCACTCCCAGCACAGGGCCCAAGGCAGGGCTTGATCTCAGGACCCTGAGATCCAGACCTGAGCTGAAATCAAAAGTTGGATGCTTAACTGACTGAGCCAACCAGGTGCCCTACCTTGCATCTCTTTTTGTGGTCTAGAGCAAAATAACATGTCATATGAATGGGGATTTTCTTGCAAATGTGAATGAACCCTGTTGTAGAATTGTTGGTATCAAGAAATAAAGAAAAGGTTTTGGTATCAACAAGATGGTGGAATAAGATTTCCCAGCCCTTATTTACCCACAGAAGCACAGAGTTAACTATGATATAAGTAACAAATATCTTTATGAAAGGTCCAGAATCTATTCAAGAAAGTGTGGTACTAATGTGAGCATAAAACTGAGATCAACTACACTTGAAATGGGTAGGAACAGTAATTAGACTTCACTGGCATCAGCCCCTCCCTCAAGTTGGCACAGCTGAGCCCCGAGGGAGACTGTGACTTCTCTCTATGTGGGGGAAGAGACTGAGCTGATGCCATGTACCCAAAATACTTTTAGAACTAATAAATGTATTCAGTCGTAGGATACAAAATCAAAACACAAAAATCAGTTGTGTTTCTATATACTAACAACAAACTATTTGAAAAAGAAATTAAGAAAATAATTCTATTTAAAATAGTGTCAAAAAATAAAATAGGAATAAACTTAACCAAGGAGGAAAAAGATGGAAGAAACTGAAGAATACACAAATAAAAGGAAGGATATCCCATGTTCACTGATGGGAAGAATTAACATTTTTTAAAAAATTCATACTACTCAAAGTGATCTACAGATTAAGTGCAGTAGCTATCATAATTCCAATGGAATTTTTCACAGAAATAGAAAAAAAAAAAACCCTAAATTTCATATGAAATCGCAAGAGGCCCTGAATACCAAAGTAATGTTGAGAAAAAGGAACAAAGATGGAGGCATCATACTTCTTGAGTTTGAACTATATTACAAAACTATATTAATGAAAACAGTGTTGGGGTGCCTGGGTGGCTCAGTTAAGCGTCCAACTCTTGATTTTTGGCGCAGGTCATGATCTCAGGATCGTGCGATCAAGCTCCACATCAGGCTCTGCCCTGGG